TAAGGAAGACATAAAGAGATGGAATTTAATTCCAATATTAAGTTTTGAATCACGAATTGAATCAGTTAAAATGAATGTCTTGCCTAGGATATTATATTTGTTTCAAACTCTTCCAATAGAAATAACAGATAAACAATTCAACGAATGGGACAAATTAATTTCGCGCTACATTTGGCAGGGAAAAAAACCGTTGCGTTGAGGTGTTGCACTGCCCTGTTTAAGGGACTATTATATATCGGCCCAACTGAGGATTTAGTTTTGTTGGTGTAAATTAGATTACCAAGCAAGATGGAAAGAAATTGAAGAGAGGGTGTCCGGGGCAGTTCCAATACAGGCACGATTAGGGGATAAAAGACTAATTAAAAACCTAATGGAAACGGGTAATAAGTGGATCAATCTGACTCTGAAAACATGGTTAAAGGTTATAACAAAGAGTGGCTTGCTTGAAGAGATAAAGATCCTGAAATGGTGCTCCCATGATCTCGACTTTACCCCGAGTAAGCTAGACGCAAGTTATAAGGGATGGGCTGATCGGGGCCTCTCTTCCTACTGTACTTTTTTTAAATCGGGGGACACTGAGCAATTTTCAAACGTTGAAAATACAACATGGGCTAAATAACAGTGACTTTTTCAGGTTCCTTCAGGTACGCCACCACATAAACAGTTCTATGTTAGAGAATCAGAAGGCGTTCGAAAACAACCTACTGAAAGTTTTTATTGGTGCATATGGTACAGATTCAGGGCTCAAAGTGATATCAAGATAAGGGACTCCAGGAGATTAAAAAAGCAAGTACCATATACATAAAACAAAAATGGGAAAGGGAAACTAACAGTTGTATTCCAGAGGAAATCTGGACCAACTATTGTGAATTCCAATGGAGAATAACAAGCTCCTCCTCATGGAGAGCGTTCGCCTGGAAGAGTCTCACTAGGTTTTTGATCACGCCCGCTCAGCAGTCTCACCATGCTGGTTCTTCCAGCTGCTGGAGGAATTGTGGCTCCCAGGAAGCAAACCATTACCACGTGCTCTGGGATTGCCCAGTAGTAAATACCTTTTGGCATAAGGTTTATAAAGAAATTGTCATCATATTTGGAACAAACATTTATTTTAATTGGGACGAACTCCTCTTCGGTTTCCTGCACTCAATATCCACAAATATTAAAACAAAATACTTATTTGGGATGTTGAGTGTAAGCAATCACAAAGAATTGGCTCAAACCAAACAGCCCATCTATAGATGATTGGTACGATATCATTTACAAAATCTTTGTAATGGAAAGAATAACTTTCTCTTTGAGGCTCCAGGAACTTAAATTTGAGGACATTTGGGAGAAATGGAAAGTGTATATTACTCCGATACGCCCTTCTTTTGTCTAACTGCTTGAATATTTTATTTAAGGATCTATACTGTCAATGTTTTATATTGAAAAGAAAACACCCCATGTTCTTGTGTGCTTATTGTTGTTGTTTTGTCAAGAAAAAGAAAAAAAGACGGACCACTCTGTACAACTATTTAACTACATATGTATATGTACACTGAAGTTGAAATGTGATCCAAATAAAAAATGTAAAAATGTTAAAAAAAAAGAACAATATAAAAAAGAGACACATTAAGAAAGTAATAGAAACTAAATAAATTACGTTTAAAAAGGTGCGACTCCAAAGGAGCCTTGATAATAGCACAGTGCTTTCTATTTCCGATACCCTTGAACGGGTTCATTTTGGGAAAAGAAAATAAAGTTGGAGAGATTTAGCACTGTGATGAAAAACATGAAAGCATTAAAATAATCTTGTTTATTGCTGAAATGAGTTGATTCATCAGATCATCAACATTGCAGCATGTAAAACGTATTAACAGAGACCTCTGTCTATATACATCAGGCTGAGGAAAAAAAGAAAGTTCAGTGATGATCCCGAAACTGTGCCTCTTATTTAAACTTTAGATCACATTTCAAAACATGTTATTTCTCATAATGCTCCATTTTAAACACCACAGGCATACAGGACATGACAGTGTCTTCCTTCAAAGTGAAAGTCCTGATGGGATTTCCTAAAAATATACATGCTTTCTTATTTGACTAAGAATAGTAAGGTGACACCGTTGTTTAACGCGATGACAGAGAGTTATGGCCTGTCCCAGTAAGGGGGGAATAGATACTGTAAAGGCCTGCATAGTTTCAAAGGCAGCGCCTGGGGGAATCATATGCCTCAGTCACCATATGCTCCATCAGACAGGCTGTTTCATACAGACAGTAATATGATAACAATGATGTGCACATCAAAAACTATTATAATTACAAAAGATATCCATGCAAGTATAGTTATATTAAATCAGAAAGACTGCCGCTTTTTGTTAATATCACAAGATGTTGTTTACTTTTTGTATTTAATAATGTTTTTGTTTTATTATTGTTTTTATTATAGCGTCTCAAGAGGAGATGGGGGTTGAATTTATGTATTGGTGGACTTTTTAAGGTTTAGTTTAAGGATGATCTATAATCTGTTGTGCCAAGCAAGACCTTTGTGACAAAACATTTCTGTGCCCATGTTCTTGACCACATTGAGGGAAATCCTGCTATTGTGAATTATGTTTGATATTTTTGTCAGTGATTCTGATGTGAGTCAGATTATCATTCTCACAAATGTTGGGACAGAAATGAGTGAAGATGGGTCTTCACCCTCCAAGCAGGCCTTTTTGAAATAAAGACTTGACTTCTTGATACTCTAAACTTTAAAGGATTAAAACTGGATTCCAAACTTATTTTTTAGCACTTTCGAAGCATAAATGTTGAAGCTAAAAATGATGGATGCCTTTCACTTATATTCACAGAGGTTTTCTAACAAGTCAGCAGAACTCCTCAGCCAGGGATAGGCGTTGAGAAATAAATCACATCAATCACATTTGAAGCTGCTGCTGCTCTTTTCTCTCTGGTTTGATACTTTTATGTTTTGGGTCCCTTCTGGAAACACCCTTAGATAAGTGGAGTTAGAGATTATTCCCATCAATAGGCTCTTAAACAGAGTTTTGGCTAAAGCAAATTAGTAAATAGAGCCAGGATAAGAAGCAGACCCAAATATGTAGAATAATGATTCATAAATTCTGGTCTGGAGGTGCTACACATTGCATAAAATAAAATAACTTCTGAATGGCCATAAAAACACTGGGAATACATTGTGTTTGAATTCCTAATGCTTCATATCAGATACTGTATGTAAGAGATAAGTGTGCATTCAAAAGCCCTATGACAAACCAGTCAATATATTATCTCATATAGGGTATTTCATATTATTGTATTGGTGCCTGGGCCATCAGAGAAACGACAAGTAAAGAGGAGAGAGGCCCATGGTGATTACATGGTCAGTATCTTAAACCTTTGGGCCCCCAGGAGGTAGCTGCTAACATTACAAGCTTTCCGGACACACTTGGTTACAGTAGATGCGCCTATGTTAAATGCCTCAGTCACGTTTTTGGGCAAGAGATCAAAAAGCCAATGCAATCCTCCTCTCCAGCTTTGCAGCCCGAACTAACCAAGTATATTCTCTCAGTAGTGATAACAGTTACCCACAGATAACACCCAACATTTGTACAGGGAAGTCAGATCTTATCACAAGAGGTCATTCTTGTAGCTGCAGTCCATCCCAGCTGGATGAGACACGATCTGAATATAAGACGCTGATCTTGGTCTTAAGATAAGTGAAACTGCAGTTTTCTGCTCTGTGTGACTCAGAACAGATTTACTCCTAAAAATGGCTTTTAGGTAAACAAAGCTCAGCTGAGGTGGACTGACATGGAATGCTGACTTAAGAATTTAAAAACAACATTTTTCATCAGAGGAGGGCATTATTATGTATTATTCAGCTGATGAAATGGCACTTTAAGAGGCATTTGAAGAGGGGTGGGGGTGAGAGGAGGGTTGAGGGTCTTTTCTGGTCTGTTAGCAGTCTCTGCTGGCCTTGGATGTGTCAGTGCATCAATAATAAGGGGTCTACATTATATCCAGTTCACCTGCTTTGTATAATGACAAGGAGGAAAGCGGTGTGTTTGACATATTGTGTTTGGGCTAATATATTAAGCAAAACTATTTTTTTAATATTGTTCCAAATATAAAAGGGTTACTGAGCTGTCCAAAACCAAAATGATCTTATTAGGTCTAATAGATTAGAACACACTTTTTTTTACATTTAAAAACTCAGCTTGACTTTAAGATACATTATTCATTCTGTTTTACTTCAGCCTACATATAGAACAACATCAATGAAATGTTGCAAAATTCTGCATGATAGAAGTCAGAACTTCTTTCATTCGCCAAGAAACAGGAAATTCCACATCAAATTGTTGTTGACACGTTACAACACATCAGCACACATGCAGACCTAATTCATTAGTTGCATTATGTCAACACGGAAACTACTGTAAACACCAACATGCTAAAAATACAAATTCAAAGCCTAACAACTGTTTCTGTGCAGCAGCTCTAGCAGATGACAACATTGACATGTTCAGAAACAAACAGAAGTAAAAAGTAAAGTATGCTGACAAATATATTAAGAGATATGCAAAAACAAAATCAACGCAAGTAGGTCAGCACATACCCTTAATAGTGCAGGATGCACAGATACACTTTATGAAGGTTAGGCTGATATATGAAGTGTTGAAGATTACTTAAATCTTATAACCTGATTTTCTCAACTCAAAAAATGATTATGCATATCTTAAGAAGACAATGTAAAGCTGTGGTGATATTTAAGATAAACTAAACTGGGTTTGCTAAATTGGCCAAAAATAGCATTTTAAAACTGTATCAGATTTAGGATTACCAATTAGATTTTTTACTTAAAAGGAATTTGCCTTGATGTTGGTACCTACATTACCATATTGAGTTGAATATAAATACTCGCAAAGTACTGCAACAAAGTCATTCATATTAATAGACATTAGAAAATCTTACTTTCAAAATACAATATTTATGAGACTTTTGTTGTGAAATAACCTACCGGAAGTGGAAATAATGTTGTAGTACGCTTGACAAAGTCTTCCGGTGACTCTGTCAAAATGGCTCTTCCGCTAACATTTAACATTGCATTGTTTTCCACTCTTTTTTTTGTCTTGTTCACTGATGTTGTATTTTGTAATAACGGCAGAAGGGTAAGAGTTGAATTGCATTGATTACCCATATTATTTGACTGTGGTTAAACGGAGGCTCCACCTGTTAGCAATGCAATTAGCATTAGCTACGAGCCGGTGAAGGCTAACGGTATAATTTCTACTTTTATTAACAGGTTGGCGATGTCATGGACACTGAATTCGGGGGGTTCTCTGTACCTCTTGAACACTCATTTGAAGTTGGTGAGAAAGTGTTTCTATTATTTTTATTATGATGTTCTATAGCACGTAATTGCAATGTTAAGCTAACCAAGCAGCCCTGTGCTACCAATGCTAACGCCATATATGAATGGCGAAACCTTCACACCACACCTCATGCACCTGCTTAATCTATTGTGATGTATGAATGAGTTACTTCAGTTGTTTCAAAGAAAGTGTGGATATTTTCATAACTGTGTAGGTGAAACTCTGCATGTAAATGACATTACATACAGTATATTATCTGTCATTCAGCCATGTGTTTTGTTCTGCTCTTACTGTCGGGTGTCCCTTGTCTTCCAGATGATGTAGCACAGTTTCGTGTGCGTGGAGCTCTGGTGCTGAAAGCTGGAAGGGAGCCCAGCGTCGCACTGACTCAGAACCAGCTGTCAGAGGAAGACAGGGCCAAACTGAAGGTGAGATAGGATGTGATTTAAAGGTCACCTAGTATGCAAAATCCACTTTTTCATTTATTTTATACATAAACATGTGTCCCCTCTGTGTAAAGAGATTCTGAAAGTTTCAGGAAAAAAGATTCTCTCACTTTTTGTCCTGATCCATTTCTATAAAAACCTGTCTGAAAATGAGCTGATCAGATTTTGGCCACTTTATGATGTCATAACGTTTTTTTGGCTTGTGTAACCATTAGCCAATAACCAACCAAGGTAACACCCCCACCTTATCACCTGAATCTCCTCCTAGAGCACCAGTGTTTTTTTTAACCAAATATCTCTCATGCCCCTTTAACACCGGCGCTTTTTCAGCTGGAGCCTGAAAAGTACCGTTTTTTCCTGTTCACACCGCAGCGGCGCCGCCTCATAGCTCCGGAATGCGGTTCACTTCCAGCTCCAAAAAATTGTCGGTCTAGAGGCAAGAGCTTCGGAGCTAGAGGCGGCGTCGCTTACGTCTCTCTTACGTCGAGGTGTGCAGGAAACTAAACCCACCTCCCCTGAACATGGGTCGACTGAAGAGTCTCGTCATGCCTGCCTACAAGCAGTAGCGCTGAGCAAAGTGACTAGAAGGCAACCACACTTATAAAAAAAAAACACACTTTATAAAGTCAGGCAACACTAACCAGGCTTCGTGTGATTCTGTTTATTTGTACCTTACTTTGACCATCCGTTCGCTGTTATTGATCATTGTGGAGAGCAGGCAGACATTTTGTTTGTTATTATAGCAGCTATCGGATGGAATCAATACATGGGCTGCACAGGTTGTCATGTCCGACTATCACAAGTAGAATCTGTGGGGGAAACTTCTGTGTAGCAATGCATTGGGAGTCACCGACTGAGGAAGGAGACACGGTGAGAGTTGGAGCTTTTGATGTCAAACACTGATGGGTTTATTCAGAGTATCGGCCGGAGGATTCACATCACAAGTCAAAGAGTCAGAGGTTCTGACTCCACGGTAGAGTTGCCACGTCAATTCTGAAGAGCCTCTCTCTATGCTAGACCTTTTAACTGGTTCACAGAGAGAAATCAACATCTCTGAAGGAGTAGACTAAACAGCTGGGAACACTGAGCCACCTGCGTCCGACACTCATGGCCTCAAAGATTTCACATCTTGGAGTCCACAAACACCGATAAAGAAGTGCCTCAGCGTTCTCACAACAAGTACCATTCGTGCCAGACAAGTTGACCGGTCACAAACTGGTGACAACAACACATATGGCACCAAGGCCTTTCCTTAAAGGAGATAACAGACGTCAGAGTAGATCATAAAACGTCACAGAGCAAAAGGTTAGATATCTAGAAGAATTATTCCTTATCAGAATCATAATGAAAAATACGTCGGTAAAATGTGCCTGTAGAAAACGGCTTAGCAAGTAGTCAGTTTAGCTTCGGTTGCTATGCTAACATCACCCATGTTATACCAGAGAAACTTTCATAACAGCGTTGTGATGCCAAACCGCGTCAATTCAGACTGACACACATTCACTTAAGGGGAACTGGGGATATGTATCAGCTGTGACAGTCAGACAGTGAATACTTTAGAGCCGTGTGAGCTAACCCGGAGCTAACGGGAGAATAAACTCCCGTGGAAGAGCAGCCAGCACTGCAGCGGTCGGTAAATGCCGCTGAAACACATTAATAAACAATGAACCACGGCACTCTGGAGAAAAGTATAAGGTTGGAGAAGTCGTTATTTAATTTAATCTGGCTTCGTATGATTAAAAGTAACACGATCATCGACCCAACGCAGTCCCCCGTTGTTGTTGTTGTTGTTGTTTTGAGCTCCGTTGGGGAGAAAATCAGCGATGTAAACGGTGACGTCATGACGCAGCAGCGGCAGCTCTGGGCGGTGTGAACAGAGCGGGAGCTGAAAAGGGAAACCGGAGCTGAACCAGAAAAGCTCTAGCTAGAAAGGGAAAAGCGCTGGTGTGAAAGCCGCATCAGAGGGGCGTGGGGAGTGGCTCCTTATTTTCATCTAAAGTAACAGACACAGAATCAGCACTTTTGAAACAGGGCTGAAACAGAGGAGTTTATGGGATGCTGCAATGCATGATCTGTTTGGTATTTGGAGCAAAACACTTCAGAGACATGTGTTGTATATATCCGAGACCTATAATATATTGATGAAAAACAGTATAATAGGGGACCTTTAAAAGGATGTGTCCAAACAAAATCCCTGAATCCAATAAATACTTTTTTTTTCATCTTCAGACATAAAACCTCTGGTCAGAGAGCTGGAGGTCATACAAACAGATTTAAGTGTGATCAGCATGGTTTGAACCTGCATCCCTAACAACTGTGTTTGTTATACTTCAGGAAGTGGCTGCAGTAGACGGTCTGTACAGGATCAGAGTGCCTCGTGTTTTCCTGCAGGCAGACAGACAGACAGAGCGGCAGCTGGAGGGTTACCTCACAGCATTTGTCAGAGCGGTATGTATTGATATTATCATGACCAGGAAATAATCTTCCCAAAAACTTGCTACTTCAACATCCACAGTAAGACGGGAACTGTAACAGTTTTAAATTATTTAGAGCCGTATCAGTGTTTGAGATTTCTCTGTGCAAGGTATGTGCCATTAATGATATTAATTAATCAGTTGATTTTCAAACAAACGTTCAGCCCATAACTGCAGATGCTTTTTGACTGTTTAGTAGTTGTCTCTCATTTTGTGATAGTGTATTCTGTTTTGACAATTTTCTATCATTTATATTTAAGTAAAAGAGTTGTTGTGGATTTTTTATGCTATACATTTATATTCATCTTGTAAAAATGGCACTCTCAGTTAAATACAATTTATTGATATTACAAAACCAAGTTACTTGTTAAGACAAAAGTATTATAAATGACTTGAGTCCCCAGTCATGTACATTATTCATAGGGGACATTTAAGATTGTTGTCTTTTACATAAACAACAATATCATTGATCTGCTACCAGCCTTTAGATTAGATCAGAAGCATTTATTGTCATTTATACAAGTACAATGAGAAGAGTACTTTTCCCCAGAGTTGTATTCTTTTCCACATCCAGCCAATGAATATGAAAACATGAACCTTCATTTTGCTCCGATCCTCAGTGTGCCATGGTTGAGTCCCATCTGAGCGACGTCATCGCCCTCCACACTGACGTCTCCGGGTACCTCATCGGGGTCTCCATAGTGACGCTCCCTGGAGCCTGCAGAGGCACTGAGGTTGAGGATGAGGTTGACCTTGAGGTTTTCAACACCACACTCAGTGTCATGGGTCCTGTCAACGCACCGGGGTCAGTCTTATTTCATGTATTTGTTTTATTTTAATTTTCAGTTTTCTTCCTTCCAATCTCGACTGCTAGATAAAGCCCGTCTGCTTTTGTTAGAACATTCCTGGCCCTGTATCTGTAGCTTTCTGTGCATGAGAGAAATCCTCTTGGGTAGCTTTTTCAGAAGCCTTTGATTCAGCTCTATTTGCCTTGGCGTAGGAGCTTTACATCATTTCCCAATAGGTAGAACAATTCTCCCTGCGCTGCTCTGCCTTTCGATACACTTTCTGTTTTGGGGTTTGTTTGAATACTAATTGCCAACTTTCTTCCAGACCTGAGACTGCTCTGTTCCTTGAAAGAATGGAAATGGAAACTGAGAAGAAAGGGAAGAATCCACAAGAGCAGAAATCTTTCTTTGCTAAATATGTAAGTACTCCTACTGAGCTGATAAGGCCAGCAGGCAGGGCCTAAAGATTTATTATCTGCCTTCAGTAATTGGGCTCTGATGATTTGTAATGACCCATATAAAAAAAATGCAAATTAAGCACATTTTTTCTCTCTATCAGACCCACCTTAACTTTTTCTATGCATGCAGCATGTTTTACACAGAATATGGGGACATCAGTACTGAAGTGCAATCATTTATTTCTCTTTCATTTGCCAAAAATTGTTACATAAAAAAACTAGCAAATGTGGTTCATCAGGGGGAAAAATCCCTACGCTCATGTTGTGTGTGTTACCATAGTTATCATATGATGAATACAGGCTTTCCCTCTCTTGATAGATTGTAAGATCGCTTTCTGAATAGTTCCCAACCAAAGGATTGATTTAATAGTTTTCTAGTTTTATGTTTAAATTGTACTGTTTATCTATTATATGATGTATATATTATTACACAGTACTCTGGTTGGTTTGCTTTGCTTTCACATCATAAACAAAGCAGACCAGAAGTTGTTTGGAACTGGTCCAAGACTCCCTCTTTTCAGGCAGTCTTTAAAAGGGGGGTCCTCATTGGAGTTAGTTTGACAGCTTTCACACCAAGCACATGGCTTGTTTACCAATTGCCAGATTAGTGATTGTGTGAAAGCATCCTGTCCTTATTGGGGTTTAAGACCTGGCTCTCTACTGCCATAGAGTCTTTGTCATCCAAGATAATTCTGCCCACAAAGTTAAATTAGAACATTTGCAACATGAAAATCAGTCAGCGCTGAGAATGTGTTTTTCTACTGACATTTTGAGCTGTCAGTTTGAGAAGACGCCATGTTTATTTAACATTCCCACAGAGAACCGGGCGTGTGTCCTGTTGCTTGGATCCTCTAAGCTGCTTTATGATCTCTGTGCTGCTGAGTGTATCTTGCTGTGTTCAGTGACAGTGTGTTGACTTGGTGCTGTGATGTGTTCCAGTGGTATTTGATTCTTGGAGGAGCTATCTTCCTCGTGGTCTCCAGTGCAGCACAGCCCCCAGCAGGGGGAGGCAGTGAGCAGAGCTGATTCCCACTGAAGTACTGTGTTCTTACTCGTGGCTCTTTCTGTCCGCCTTCCGCCTGTTGTCAACCTATCTGTTAAACTTCTGAGCAACAATACTAACTGAATCACCATCCCATTGTTTGTTCCCTGTTGTTCCCTCTTTTCCACTCTGAGGTTTTTTCCAGTTTCAATGTCAAATACATGTTTTAAAGAAATTACTGAAAAAAGTCACATTTTTCAATCAGGATTTGAAAGTACTTTGCAGGGGGAAACCTCCATGCTATAATCCTTAAGAAATCCTAAAACTACATTCTCAGTGTGAATATGTTTGACATGTGTTTGGCCTTGATCCTGAGAATGAATTCTTTATTCTTAACTATCACCCTATTTTAACTTTTCTTCTGTTCAGAAAATAACTGAACCTAATCTGGGATGCCAATCGGGGATTGATCATTTGACATTTTAAAAAAAACATACAAATGTTATGTTACTAACATCAATGTATTTCATCTGTCCTCTCTAGTGGATGTACATCGTGCCGCTCGTTCTCTTCCTCATGATGTCTGGTGCTCAGGACCAATCAGGTGGAGGCGCCGGAGGCGGAGCAGCCAATGGAGGTGGCCGATGAGCTTCTTTTTTTTGTCTTTTTTTTGCTCAACATTTCCTGAACAATAACTCTCTGACACATATTTTAATTGCTGTACATAATGCTATTTAAGAATGATAAATGTTTGTCACACGCGCAGCTTAAACTTGTACAGCATAAAGGAGATATTGTGCCCTGCAGACGACTGCATTTTAATACTAACGTGAAAATAAAGTATTTATTACTTGGCCTGTCTTTTTCTCGTCTGTCACTCGGACTAAAGAGTTTTAGAGTCTTAATGTTGAGATACAGGGGCGGCTCTGAGGCTCAGATTTAGTTGTAACAATAGTATAGTGTATAATGTATTATTAAACATTAACTGAGATAGATATACAGCAGGCAGTAGTAACAGTAATCTCTTAGTGAAGCAAAATGTTATTTACTAGATGCCTTTAAAATAATGAATATTATTCATGGTTTTAGAAAATAATGTTGTCATGAATTAAACAAAATTAAGTTAAGTAAAGATACTTTTGTAGCCGTTATTTTTGTATTATTAAATGTAATGAATCTTTCTGCTGCACACTTCCCACCCAGGGGTTAAATGAAAACATTTATTATTAAAGTGACATAATATGAAAAACTCGCTTTATCAGTGCTTATTGAACATCAAAGCATGGAAACACTTTCTTGTACAAACCAAACATATTAAAGGTGGGGTAGGTACGTTTGAGAAACCGGCTCGAGATACACTTTTTGTTATATTCCATGGAATGCTCTTAACATCCCGATAGCAATGAAAATCTTAAGTGCTTTGACAAAAAATCCATACAAAATGTCATCTGTGGAAGCTGTAGTACTGTAAAAAGCACGACCAGTCATTTTAGCCGGCCCGGCTAAAATAACTGGATGGCCTACCTGCCTGTCAGCCTTCCATCTGTGCACAAACTTATCTCGTGCCCTCATTGGTCATGTGCGCGTTCGTGTGTGTTGGAGGAGGGGCTCTGTAAGGAAGTGGCAGATTTTTTCCGGCTGTGTATTTTCAAAATCGAGCGCACTCAAGCTGGTTTCTCCAAAATTGATCCTGAAAAGTGGCATAACATGGCCCCTTTAAATCAGCACTCATGTATTTAATTGCGTTAAAAATGTACGCTATAATGGCACATTTTGAAAACTGGTTGCCTAATTCAAGAAAGTCAGTGGGATGAACATTTATTTGAAGATGGTCAAGCCTGTGTGAATGGTTTCTCCACTGTGGGTGTGGGGGGGTAAACCACTTCTGTTTCAGTTTGCCACATTTGAACTGGAAATCCTCCACTCAGCTGTTTATTCCTTTTTAATGCAGCTGGGGGTTTATCAAGGATCCCCTTGTGTCCAACAAGTGTCAACGGTTGTGGCGGTATTCACTTAATGCTGTTAATATAGACAGGAGGTACAGAAATTCCCCACAGTGGATATAGGATCTGTTATTTAGTCCAAGGAAGTGCAAATGACTTTAAATCATAATTGTAGCATAACAATGCAGGAGCCTTAAACAGTTTTTGGCCTTTTGCTGTGGTTAGATTTAAGACGTTTTAACTGTGATTAGTCAGTCTATAGTATGTTAAGCTGATATCCCAGTGGTGACTAGACCAGCCTTCTATCAATTGTGAAGTTGGAAGTATAGCTTTTCTAAAGCAACTCACATGTTAGTTCCAGCTTGTTAGAGGCATTGTTGTGCACTTCACACTGAAAAACGTACCTGTCCTCATTTAAACCTGCCAGTCTTCCAGTTTGTTTAACCAATGTAAAACAAAGAAATCTAAACAATTGTGTGTAGTTTTACCTTAACAAAAACAATACAAATTAGCATTGAGCCTCATACTTTAAGACGGCAACTGTGTTGACATTGGTGATTTAAATAAATGCTAGCACTACAATTTGAAATCCTCCAAAAGCCATGTTAAAAGCAAGGATACAGCTCAACATGTTAAGGACAGTCCAGTCTACATTTTTAGGGAAAACACTGGTCGTACTGGGATCACTACCTTCATCGTGGGGAGCCAAAGTGAACATCCAAGCTTCATCCTCCTGCCACCTAACTGAGTATTTATATTCATCAGGAGTCAGGAAGACGGATCACGGACTCAAACCATCACAGCTGTAGAAACAGAATATCCCAGAAATCCTTGTGGCAACATTGCCCACCCTTTTCGTCATGTCAGTCAGTCAGTCAGTCAGTCAGTCTGGCTGCTTTTAGTCCTGTGTCAAACTGTGAGGAACATCCTCTTATTTTTGGAGGCTCAGCATTGAGCTTCAACACTTCAGTGCCCTCTGGCCTCGTCCAATCGGCAGCCAGGCCTTTCTCAGAATGCCACACGGAGTCCCACAGCGCACCGTCCTCTCCTGTGACTGCTCTTCACGTTCTTTTGCTGTGAAATAAGGTGATAACAACAGCTGAGGGAAACTGGAGAAATAGAAGGAAGTGAGCCGAACGACACAAGTAATCTATTTGTAAAGAGATCTGTTTCTGTCAGATGGGGGCAGAGGTTACAGCGCGAGAGAAGCTGTGTGTTCTCATGTGATATCGTCAGGGTTACACAATGATCTAAGTTAAAACTTGTTTTTTCCAGTCTAGCTCCTCATTCCACTTTGAAAACTCAACAATCTCAGCTATTCTACTTTCAGCAAAAACACTAATGAATCATGGGAGGCCTATCAGCAGGGTCTGTGATGTATGTCCATCTACCAAGAAGCTGGGGGACACTGAGACACATGATTGTGGTGATCATTAGGAATGGAATCATGTGTGTTTGCAAATACACTAAGACCACACATTCTGTGAACACATGTTGCTTTCAACAAGTGTATCACAGACTACAGGCAAAAATCATCATACGACTAAAAATAACAAAGTCATATCCAAGTCAAATGGACCTGCTTCAAATCGTAGTAATCACATGAAACATTTAGAAAGTAAAAGACTCACACAGAGTACACCCTAGTGGATGAGATTGCTATTTTCTTTCTTTAAAAAAAAAAGTTGTTTAATTTAATAAGGAAGATGAGTATAACCTTTCCAGTATCGAGAAACCTCCGCTTCTTGTTGTGCTTCAACACTACCGTCTTCAAAGACCTTGATAAATCTCTTTAACATGTCTGTTCCAGGTCAGTTTAGAGCAAGTTTGAGTCATTCACACTTTTATTGAAGCTGTGTATTTATCCGCCTGTTTAGTAAACTCTGGATAAAGTTCCTTTCTTATTGGATGGTCCCTAAATAAGCATATTCAAACGACTGTCACGTTTTGCACCTCTCTATGAAGTCTGGCTCTTTACTCCATTTGTGTGGCCGCCCACAAAAAACCTTACATAGCTAACATCACATAACCAGGACAAGCTAAAAACCAACATTTGGCTTTAGGTTATTGTGAAACCTCTGTTAAATCAGACTTCAAATGAGATTGTGGTTAACATAACTGGTAGCTTTGACCATACAGTACCAGCTGCATCATTATTGGTATTACTCCTCTCACAAAACAGATAAGACTACTCATCTACTCTCTAATCTAAATGAACATCAATTGATGCTTTACCCTTCGCTCCAGGCACCTGTCATTGGTAAGTGCATCAATGTGTTTAGAGCACACTTCATGTTGTGTCATAAAGGAATGCATAGTGTGATATACAAACTAAAATGCAGAAGAGGTCAGTAGTGGCTGTAAATCATTTCAAATGTGATGATTTATTAATATGATGTACTAGCACTTTCAACAGTTAATTGACAAGCTATCCAATTGCTCGTGTGGTTTTAATAACATATATAGAGGTTAGAAGGTAAATGATGTAATGCAGAGCAATTTAGCAGGAGTACACATGATGGCAGAGAGTGGTGGGGGGGGCAGGGTGAGGAGTAGAGGGGAGGCTTCATACATGAAACAGGCAGCCGCTTGCTTAGCAGCAGTTACCCATAAATCTCATGGCTCTGTCGCCTGGACACCACCAATGTCAGCATGACACCATGTGATCGGCAGGACAACCCCCCCCTCTCTTGACATGCTATGATTTAGAAGCAGTTATGAGGTTTATGTTGCACTAAAGTGTTGGGGGGAAAGTTGATTTTAGCCTGTCATTATCACACTGTAAATCTGGACATTTTTACTATGCGTGTCTCATTATAATTGATATATAACTAAAAGCCCCACTCATCATAAAATACATATTCCAGAAAAGTCCATAAAACATATACAAATGTTATTCTTATTATTTTCTCCACCATTAATCATTATGATCCTCAGATTTATCTGGTGCTCTCAATAAACTACCTGTCTGTATATAAGTTAACATTTGCTCAATATAAGTAACTACAATAAAAACATGCTGCTTGTACATTTATCAGGATTAACAATCTAAAATGCCATAAAATATAACCAATCAATTATTGGGGACAATTTGTACTTTCACTTTGGCTGGCACTGCTGAGAGTACTTTAGCTGGATTTAAAATAACATCGTAATTGAATATTTACAATGTTGTATCTTTTGGAACTCAAGTCAATTATACAATTTATTCCACCAATGCATTATTCACAATAAGTTGGTATCAAACAACAGTTGTGTCCTTTACTCTAGAATAAAAACACCCCACGGTGTTCAAACTGAGAGCCACTGAGCACACAAGGATAAAAGCAGCGAGCCAGAAGTGAGAGGAGGAAGCACCTGCCTTGTCAATCAGAGAGCCAAGAAAACTTCACGAAGTCTCTGAAAGGATCCCAGCAGGCCATCGCAGATTACAGGCTCACACTTATTGTATCCCCCACACCCAATCATGTTATACGTGTCACCATAGCACCACCATGTTAGCGTGTAGGACATTTTTAATGGCCAAGTTAGAAGGTAATATACACTTGAATATTACATAATAATCCTTGACTGTATAACATAGCAACCCTAAACACACCCAAAGGTCAGGTTATAATACTATTTAAGCCCTCTCACTGACAGCAGTAAGAAGCAGGTGTTGAAATGTGTTCATGCTTCACACTGAGAATATCTGGTATTAAAGGAGCGGGCGTTAAGCGGGTAGTTACACTTAATTTAAATTATTCTTCTAATAGCATTGAGACACTGTCCTGTGACAGGGAGTTATTTCCTATTAACTTAAGTCAATTAAAATGTGCCAGTAAAAGAAATATTCCAATGATAATGTATTGCTTTTCATTTGGGGAACATGTATTACTGTGGTTGCTAATAACAAAGGAACAAGACAATCA